ACTTTTGGAGTTTCCTGGATCCTAGGAGGAGGGTGGTGTCCTAAGGCCTGAGATCCCAGGCTCCCCTTCTGCACAGCTAATTTGTCCTGTGGCCTCCTAGAATATCTGTCCTCCTTAATGAAGGATTCTGAGCCCCTAATCCATTTATCTAGCCTCCTGAGGGTGTTCTAGAGCACACTTATCCCACAGGGAATGTAAATGAGAAGAGGGTAGCTCATCCTGGGAGATATATAATTTGTGACTGGGAGCACTGCACTGAGAGCCATGGCGGTGAGTTCCAATCCTGCCTCCTGACCTCTAAGCTATGTTACCCTGGCTAGTTACTTCTGCTCTCTGGGCCTCAGCAATATGAGTCCACAAAAGAGAATCCGTTCATTCATAGCATCTCAGAGCTTAATTGTATTAATAAGATTTGAAACCTGTAATTAAGAAACCAATGGTCCTTACCTCTCTGGGGTCTCCAAGCATATCCAGAGTAAAAAATTTCTGTGAAGACAAAGGCAGAGGATGTGAGTGAGAAGCTTCCTGGTTTAAAAGCTGATCCTTTGAGCTGTGCCCCAGAGCTACCAGGTTCTCCCAATCGGAGGCAGAGGACCCTACACAGACCCCACTGGGCATGAGCCCAGAGTAGAGTCATAGGATGGAGGAGGGGCAGGCAGCAGCCAGGAGAGGAGACACCTGGGGACCAGAGTCAGGCTCCCTGGAGCTGCGGGGAGGACCTCTGCTCTTGCTGCCTGTCCTCGTCATCCTTCCCCCTACTTGTTCTTACTGGCATCGAACCCCGTTTTCCCCTGGAGGGAACATACACATTGGTCCCCGGGCATTGGTGTGGATGAGGCAACTTGGGTGGGGGGGAATGGAGCTGCAGGTGGGATGCCCAGATGGAGAGGGCATTACTCTCTCCCTGCTTCCCTCTTCCCCCTGTCCTCTGCATGTCTTCAGGCATCTCTCTGTGACCTGGGGTGTTCCAAGTCCCTGAACATACAGATGAGTACAAGGATGGGTACAAACCAGTGTCACTCCAACAGAGTTTACCCCAAACCTATTGCTGAAGCTTTTGAGATAGACAGTTTCTAAGCAGATAGGACATGTATCTAGAGTGCTATTATCTTTAACCTCCCCAGGGGACAAATCTACTTCAGAGAGAAGTCAACAAAGAAGATTGTCAAGCGGAGGGATAGAGACAGGCACATTCTTCAACACTATTTTAACAGCACCTGGATCCAGCCATGCCCTAAGCCATCTGCTCATGAACTCCTCACTTACCTGGAGATTCCATTATAAGATGTATTCTTCTTTTTCTTCAAGCCACCTTGGAAAGAGTTTTTTCATTGCGTGTTAGAAAACTATGATTTAAGCAAGCTCTTTGAAGCACATTCCAACAGATGCTTTACTTTGCTATGTGTTCAGATTGCAGTGATTGAAATGTTACATCATACCTCACTTCCTGCCCTACATGTAGAGGGACCACTGGGGTTCCTCCATTCTGGGTTGTAGCCCCACAAGCCAGCGGTGGTGTATGTGACTGTGCGTGTGTGTGTGTGTGTGTGTGTGTGTGTGTGTGTGTGTACTGGGCCAGTAGTTAATCATGTAAAAAGTTCCACCAAAAATTCAAAAGATCTCAGAAATATGTCCTTGGATTCCAAGATTTTAGGTCTCTTGGTTTCCCCAAGGTCACCATCTATTTCCATATAACCTTGCTCCTTTTTGTCACATAGAGGATAGCTAAAGTATTTGCTTCTTTCCAGGTATCACAAAACAGCTGTGTCTTAATTCTTTGAAAACTTTAATCACCTTATTTAAGTCGGTAAACCAAGCTTCAATTCCCAAGGCCATATTGAACTCAATCCATGGACATACAGAGCACTATGCTAGCAGTCTGCCCTGTGGGCCCAGAAGTATTGTCTGGTGTTCAAGGTCAAGATAGACCAGGGGCTCAAGTGACCCCAAGCTTACAGTCAGACCTCCCCGCCCCCCTTAGGATGTAGCTCCCATTAGCCCTTCATGTTCTTTCCTCTGCATGTTTGTCCTACTAAGTTACCCGTGGCGAAAGACTGTCTTGACAATCCATCAATCCTCAAATGTCACTTTCCCTAAGAAGCACTCTTAATAGCTATAATGACTGTGTCTCCTCTCTATCCTCCCACCACACAAAACCACTAAGTATATTGCTACATTTCTCCTTGTATTGTCCTTTTTGAGCAGAGACAATGTTCAATTTATGTCTGCATCACCTCTCCTGACATTGCTCTCCCACACACTTAGCCTGGAGGGAGGGAGGGAGGGACAGGAGGAGGAAGTGAGTTGGTTAATACAAGCACTATTGGGAAGTTGGATGGACACATGGACAAAAGGTGAAAACTACCAAATAGATAAAGGGTGGATCATGGCTTTTGGAGGACTGGATAATGGAGTGTGGATGTATGTTGAACAGATGATTCACGGATGATGGACAGATGAAACAAAGTAGAATGAGGGCTGGGGTTTGGCTCAGTGGAGAGCACTTGCCTGGCGCCTATGAGGCACAGGGTTAGATCCTCAGCACCACAAAAAAGTAAATAAATAAATACAAATAAAATAAAATTATAAAAAACTAAAAAAAGTTATAAAAAATAGATGAATGAAAAGTTAAGGATGGATTCACACTAGATTAGTGAAATAATATGAATATAATTGGAGAGATGACAGATAATTGTTTTGAATACTAAATGAGACAGAGTCTCAGAAAATCTAGACTACTACTGTGTTATAATTAAAACACTTCTTAAAAAACCAAGAAAAATTATGACTCTTTTCTAAAAACCCCTACAATCAGTGTGGTTGTTGCATTTTAAGTATTTCATAATAAGAGATTAAAAAAAAATTCCAACTTGGATCAAGATGAGTGGGAGAGAGAAGCCCAGGGTCAAGCCAAGGAGGAAGGGCCACTGGGATGGCGGCACCTACCATTTTCAGCGTGGTCTCCAAGAGCTCCTCCTCTGTCTTCTGGCGCAAGCAGTGAACCATGACTGCAGACGTGGTGGTTTTACACCCAGCGGTAATAGCAACTTTCTGCAGAGATCACAGGCAACAGCAGAGTTCAAGGGCAATGTCTCCATACAGACAAGGTGTTCTGTGGCAAGTCAACTTCTGAAGGCAGCAGGGAGCAGCTGAAGATCCTCTAGACAAGATGGAGTGGGTTCTGGGCCCCATAGAGTGTTGCCTCTGTTGCTAACTGGAATTGTGATATGAGTATATCTTTATATATATGTGTCTCCATTACCTTATCTTTGCTAAAATGGGCATAATGTTCTCAAAATTATGTCTAAAGTGAGGCTGTGTGGAGTTGTGGTGAAGAGCATGGAATCCAGAATACCATTCTCTGATTTAACTCCCATCTCCACCGCATACGAATCATTTGGACTCAGTTTCCCTACCCATAGATAAGCTAATGGTTGCACCTGTCTCATGAGAAGAATTAATACATGTGACCTTAAAAGTGTACCATGTCTCCACACACTAAAACTTGTGCAGAATTGCCAAAGGCCTGCATGAGACAATTTGCACTTTGGAAAGTAGAGAATGTCACTTAAATGTGGGCCCTAAAGGAGCCTCAAGCCATTCACATGTGTGGTATCCTTTGAGCGTGAAGACTGAGTTCTATAAGAACAAAGCCCCTTGAGGATTCCAGGAGACACGGGAAAGGGCTTGGGAACTGTCCAGGGTGAGACTTACCTCAGCTAGAGGTTTGGCGTTCTTCTTGACCAGAAGAGAACTCAGGGCCACGCCACTCTCAGAAATGGCCCTGTGGAAGAGGTTCTTGGCCAGCGGAGATAACACCTGGCAGGGACGTGGAGAGGAGGAGGATTATGTTCACAAGGTGAAGATCAGTGACTCACTTGTCTTTCAGGCTCCCTCCAACTTCCCCCTCTGCCTGGGACTGTTCACCTGGATACTCTGGCACCCTGTGGATATGACACTTCCTCACCTATGCTGGCCTGCTTCCCAGCTCCATGTGGGGCCCACCTTTCCTAAGAGAAACTCAATAGGAAGAGGCCAGATGCCAGAGTTAGGAACAGGACAGGAAGCATGTGACGCATGCTTATCATGTCAAACAAAAGTATTGGGAAACCAGCTAGGCAATTCCTAGCCCCAGATTACATTGCAGTATGCAAAATTTATCCTAAGAAAAATGATCACATAAAAATGAGGTGGGACCAGGTGGGGTGGCGCACACCTGTAATCCCAGCTGCTCGGGAGGCTGAGGCAGAAGGATTATGAGTTCAAAGCCAGACTCAGCAAAAAGCAAGGTGCTAAGCAACTCAATGAGCCTCTGTCTCTAAATAAAATACAAAAAAGGGCTGGGGATGTGGCTCAGTAGTGGAGTGACCCTGAGTTCAATCCCAGTACCTACGAAAAAAAAAGAGCTGGGGGTGTAACTCAATGGCAGAGCATGTGCTGCCAAGCCAAGGGCATTGCAAAAAAGAAAAAAGAAAAAGATCCTGGAAGTGCACAGAGATATCTAAAAATGTTCACGCTATTAACATGGTTAAAAAAAATAGCTGAGAGTAATCCAAGATCCAATATTGAGTAATTGGCTAAACAAGTTTTCATTCTCGCAATAGAATGTTATACAATTATAAAAATAATATTGCATAAGAATGTTTAACGTTAAGGAAATGTTTACATTATGCTAGTATGTTAAGGGAAATTTTGTGGGGAAAAAATGCAACATGGATACAGAACAGAAAGGGAGGACGGGTAAAGATGATGGATGGATGGATGGATGGATGGATAGACAGACAGAAAAATACAGGACCAAATGCCCAGTCACTATCCTTGAGGTGTGTGATTGTGGATGATTATTTTCTTCTTCATCTTATTTGTATGTTTCCTTATCCTCTTCCTTTAAAAATGTATAAAGATTTCCCCTGATTATTTAGCTATGAGAACAATATTCCACAGGAAAATACGTAATCTGGCTGACGCTCTGCTCGACCCGGAGGTATGGAGGGGTTTCTCATGCTCCCAGCACCACCCACATTTTCCCTCAGTGTCCTCCAGCCCCATTCCCCTCACTAGCAGGAAATCTCAGGACCCAAGTTACGTCTGTGACCCACATCCATGCCCCATCCTTCCTGTCACCTCCCATCCCTGCATCCTCTCACCCACCTCCCCCAGTGCAAATTGTCCCAGAGTTTGCTGCCTTCATTGTGGGCATGGACATGTCATCAGGCCACCTTAGAGGAGGGTCCTGCCTGATCTCAGTGCCCCAGTCCTCTCAACATGGAGATCTGCCTTGGAGCCAAGGATCATTTATCTTTGCCCCTTCTCATTGTAATTTATAACCACCCCTGTTTCCCAAGAGAAGTGAGGTGAGCCCTAATATCAAAATTATAAGGAAGAGGAAATAGAACTAAATCAAATCAAAGGAGGAGAAAAGTCACTGTTGCAGGCTGATCTAGAGATGTTGCTGGCCCCAGGACATGAAGCCGAGCTCTGAGCTTCCTGGAGGCCAAGAGGGTCTGGGTCTTGACCCTCCACCACCTGAAGCCAGGCAGTGAGCAGAGTCTCCCTGAATCCCATCTTGTAAACAAAGGAGGATGTAGCTGAATTTTAGTGGTCTCCAAGAGGCCCAGGGGTGAGCAGGGGCAGGAGCACTTACAAGAACAGAGACACTTTGTCCTCCTGCTGACTCTCCAAAGATGGTCACAGAGCCTGGGTTCCCTCCAAAGTTGGCAATGTTGTCCTGGACCCAGCGCAGAGCAGCCACCTGGTCCAAGTGACCCCAGTTCCCTGGGCTGTGCTCATCCCCAGTGCTGCAAGATAACAGGGTGGGGTGGGACTAGAGATGTCATGGCAGAGCTCTGAGGACCAGAGATGATGAGGGGACTCTGCATCCATGACACAGGTGTCTTTACCTGACTGTCATCCCTGTAGCATTGCTCTGCATGGAGTCTACATTCATTCTTCCAGCAATGATGGGCTGAGTGAGCATCTATTATGCACCCTACACCAGTCTAAGAGTTACAGCATCCCCAGGAACCAGTCAGGCAAAACCTGACTACACTCAGCTCACACTCCAGAGCACAGACAAACAGATGAAAAGAGAACACAATGTTCATGAGTAAAGATGATTCGAGGTAATGACAGAGGCAGGGTGGGGCAGTGGCGGGGGGGGGGGGGGCAATTCTCAGCACCAGGGAAGGGCTCTGTGGGGGGGGGGCGTTGGGTACAGACCAGCATGAAAGGAGCACAGGTCTTTCTTGTAAATGTCCAAAGAAGAAATTCCGGGGAGGAGAAGCAGCAGGTGTGAAGGCCCCAGGGCCAAGGGCACCAAAGTGTGAGTGTAGCTAGAGTGAGAGGCAGCTAGAGAGGGCGCTGGGGGCCTTGGAGGGGACTTCTCTGTCACCATTAGTGACCTGGGAACCCTCAACAGAGGCAGGGCGAGACTCGCCCTGTGCCTCTCATGATCTCTGGCCACTGTGGAGCGGCCACCACGTCCGAGTTACAGGTTTATGAATATGATCACAACCATAATCCAGCCAGAGACGAGGTCGTGAAGCGAGGGGGGGAGGGGCTGGATTCTGAGCGTGTTTACAGGAGGAACCCTGCAGATCCACTGGCCACCGAGATGGGGAGCGAGGACAGAGGAGCCTCCAGGCTGCCCCAGGCCTTCACCTTGACCACCCAGGAGGGGGAAGCTGCAGCAGGGGCACAGGGGCTGTGGGACAGCAGGAGAGCCTGAGATGGTATGTGTGGGGGTCTGTCCCTATGAAGTGGAGGTGCCCTGTGCACATCCAGGGCAGTAGGAGGGGGCAGCTAAGGTGGCACCTGGGTTCCAAGTGCTGCTGGGCTCACTCAGGGAATCAGTGGAGGGAGAGGGAGACCCAGAGGCCTGAGCAAGGGGAGCAGGAGGGGCCAGCGAGGCAGCTGAGAAGGAGGAGCCAACTGGGAGTGGACAGTGACCCGGGCCCAGGAGAAGGAGGCATTTCAGGTGTGTGAGAGGCACCTGCTTGGCTGCTGCTGAGAGGTCATGTGGTCTGCGCTGAGCCCTGTGGTAATGATTGGCCTCTTCCGGACAGCCTGGTGGCAAGGCCCTCTGAACCCTGACAGCCCAGCATTCGCTGAGCTCCCTCTGTGGCGCTGCCCTTGTTTCCTTTCCCGGAGCAGAATGTGGCATTGCACCCGGGGCTGCATGATGACCGATATCAGAGGACCGCGTGTGCCAGAGGATCCCAGGGGAAGGAGGAGGAGCATTTCAGAGACGCTCATCCAAGAGGCCTGCACCTCACAAGGTGATTAGGAGTGTGACAGCTGAGGGGGCCATGCTAGCGCAGGGCACAGCACATGCAAAAGCCTGGAAGCAAGTGGCCAAGTGTGACTGGGAGTGAGAAGGTCGAAGGGTGCGTTAGGAAGGACCTTAGCAGAGCACTTCATGAGCAAGGACATCACCTTTTTGCTTTTGTGGCTTCTATGGTTTGGGTGTGGTTTGTCTCCCACATGTGCTGCAGCTTTTGCTGGCTTTTGTGGCAATATTAAGCACCTATGGAACCTATGCAAGATGAGGTCTGGTGGAAGGTGATCGGGTCATGGGGGTGCCACCCCCGTGATGACCCTTCCTATGCACCTCCCTCTGCCTCGCCTGCACATCCAATGTTACCCACCCCCCTAAGAACACCTCACATCACCAATCCTGGAAGCCTCAGTCACTTGACTAACATTATCCAAAGGCTTGCTGTATGCCAGAGACTGTGATAAAGCCAGAGGGTAAGAGTGGGTATTATAATCTGAAATTCATAGTTCTTGCATTTAAGCAGTTCACATAGGGGTTAACCTAGAGCTCATGGGATCTGGTTAGTTCAGAGACAGTGAGTTGTTCCAAAAAGAGCAAGACCGCCCCACACCCCATTTTCTGGCTCCCCATCTCACTGTGGTGAGTTCTGCATGTACAGTTTCCCTTTGTGTCCCTCAACCATATTTTGATGCAGAATAACAGGCCTTCCACAAAGACCAATCCATTGAAGCCACTCCAAACTGTGAGATAAAACTCTTTTCTTTATATTTACTAATGCAGGGGCTACTGTGCAGAGAGGAGAGTCCAGCGCCTTACCTGAAGAATCCCCAGATGCCCAGGCGGTACTGGATGGTCACCACCACCACGTTTTCAAGGGCAGCGAGGGCCAGTCCATCATAGGTGGATGCCCCGCCCACCACCAGACCACCTCCATGGATCCACACCATCACCTGGGCAACACAGACACAACCATACTAGTTATAGGAAGCAGAATTGGAGAAGACCTCAGAGGTCTGTCGCCTACATCTTGGCTGTGACTCACAGAGGCCAGTAGCAACATCCACCCGTGTTAACGTTGGATATGAGGTGTCCCCCAAAAGCTCACGTGTGGGATAATGCAAAAAGGTTCAGAGGAGAAATGACTGGATTGTAAGAGTCTTAACACAATCAGTAAATTAATCCCTTATGGAATTAGCCCAGTGGTAACTAGAGGGAGGTGGGGTGTGGCTGGAGGAAGTGATTAATTGGGGGCGTGGCTATGGGGTATATCTTTTGTACCTGAGCTGGAGTCTCTCTCTGCTTCAGGATCGCCTCTGCCACACACTCTGCCATGATGTTCTGCCTCACCTCCAGCCCTGAGGAATGGAGCTGGCCTTCTCTGGACTAAGACTCTAAAACCATGAGCCCTCAAATAAACTTTTCCGGCCCTAGAGTTGTGCTGGTCTGATCCTTTAGTCCCAACAGCGAAAAAGCTGACTAAAACACCCAGAGTCCAGCAAGGTTGCAAAAGGCAGTCTCTCACCTCCCCAAGTCCCCCTGCTCAGGGCCCAGGAACCCCCTGACTCAGTGTACCCACCTTTATGCCAGACCTATGTCCTCCCAAAGCCCTTAAAACTGCAATGTCACCAGAGGAACAGCAATAACCAAGAACACTGTGTTCTCCCCAATGCTCCCATGGTCCTCATGCCTGGACCAGTCAACCAGTTGGACATAAGCAAGGGGCAGATCTTGCACTTCAGCTGCACCTGCATTAACTCTAGTGAGGAATAAACTTCCCTGTGCAGGAATGATTTCCTCAGGAATCACAACCCCACCCCCGAGGTGACCCTTCCTATGCACCTGCCTCTGCCTCGCCTGCACATCCAATGTTACCCACCCCACTAAGAACACCTCACATCACCAATCCTGGAAGCCTCAGTCACTTGACTAACATTATCCAAAATCTTGCTGTATGCCAGAGACTGTGATAAAGCCAGAGGGTAAGAGTGGGTATTATAATCTGAAATTCATAGTTCTTGCATTTAAAGAGTTCACATAGCAGGGAATTATTATAATAATATTTGTAATAAAAAAAGAATCATAACATGAACTAAGTACCAAGTACTGTTTAAGTACTTTGAAATTAACTATCTACAAGGTAAACACTAATATTGTCTCATTTGACAAGAAATGTGAGGATTCACCTGCCCAAAGTTCCATAGCTAATAAGTGTTGAAGCAAGGCTTGACCCAGACTGATTGGCCCCAGAGTCCACGGTCTGAGTTGCCCAACTCCCTGCCACCCAGGGCCACAGCCCTAGCACAGTGAGCCAATGCGGGCAAGAATAAGGTCCCACTGTAGCTCTAACTTGAGTTTCAGGAGGGTTCACTCTGTGCACTCAGCCAGCCCGAGATGAAGCCCGACCACCATCATTAGACACTCACACGGGATTCTTCCCTGAGAGGAAGCAGAGGCTGAGGGAGGTGGAGAACTTGCCCAAGACTCTCAGCCAGGCCAAGGCAGACCCAGGATCCAAACCCAGACCCTGGAGATCTAGACCCTGTGTCCACAGCTGGGGGTCTCCTGCCTCCAGGCTCCCAGAGCCCTGTTTCTCCTGCACCTCTGATCCTGCTGTCCCCAGGGAGGGACTGAGTCGGGGTCACCTGAGTGAAGGTGAGCTCAAGGACAGGTCAGCACAGACAGGCTGGAGAGGCCAGGACGTGTGTGCCGCCAGATGGCAAGACCTGGAGAGCAGGGGCTGCTGGGCAAGGCGCCGTGCCCCTGCTCCCCCTAAGCCCAGAGATCAGCTGGGCAGATGGGGTCACTGAGCACACAACAGCAGGATGAGTGGGAAAAGTGTGTGACTGAGGGACCCTGTCCCCCTGCCTTGTGTCTAACAAGCACATGCAGGACCATCTTCAAAAGTCCCTAGTTCAAACCTCCTCCCCAACTCTTGGGAACCGTGCCAGAGTGCACCTGGGGGACTAGCTGGGAGCTGCCCCCCTCTTTATTCCAGTTCAGGTATGACGTCCTTCCAGCAGGTCCCTCACCCTCTGGCCTGCTCCTGGCAGCCGGCCCACCTCTGGCTCTTCCTTCTTGGAAAACGCTGACTCACTGGGCATCAGCCTGAGCCAGCGGCAGTTAGTGAGGAAAATGATCTCCCATAAGACCTCAGATGCTTGGCCTGAGCAAGGACAGTGCTTCTAAGGTTGTCCCAGCCCTGCTGCTGCCCACCCACACCTCTGTCAAGGGACAGAGACAGTGTTCAGGGGACAGTGGAAGTGGTC